GGCTCCGTGTGATAGCCAGGAGCGGTGTGATGTGCTGGGAGTGACTGAATGCCAGCACCTCAGCAAAATAAAACCATGTTTCCCTGCCTGCCCCAGGTCCAGCTACAGGAATTATGGCAGGCTTGTGATTTTCTGACTTTTACTTGTCTCTGTCCACTTGTGACTGGATTTGGAATTTCAGGTCCCAGGTCAGACATCTTGGCATCACTGAAAAGTTAAAACTAGATTAGGCCAGCCTCAGTACCCATGCAGTGCTGGCATAAGAGTCTGTAATTTTCTTACTTGCTCATCCAGCTTGTTTACTGCAGCCATTTCTTATATTCCCAAGTGCTGCTCCTTCTAAATTACTTAAAACATTCACCTGGGCAGAGGTGCTGGTAAGTGCATGTGTTTGCCAGAGAAGTTAAGCAAAACTTCTGGCTTTCTGGGTTTAGATGGGGGAGCTTCTCAGAAGGTGTAATTTGGCCAAATATGAGAATCATGACAAACTGGGATGTTTGCTTTGCCTTGTTGCCAGCTGGACGTAGGAAATAAACATTAAGGCAGATTGAATTCTGTTTTGCAATGAAGCTGTGTAATTCTGTATTACAACTTTATTGGGTTAGGTTTCATCCAGGTTTCATTCTACCTGCTAGGTAGGATAAAGAGATTAGAGTAACTTGCACTTTCTTATCCTGCTAGGAGAATTAAAATCAATGGAGTCCCTTGACTGTAGTGCTGCTTCTTGGAAAGGCAGCGTCTTTAGCTAGGAAACAGGGATACAGAACATAATAAATATGTAAACAGACGATGGGGTTGTAAGTCTGAGGGTTTGTTTGTCACACGCAGCATTTATTTTTTGACAGATCGCTGCTGCATTATGTCAGGAGAGAGCGACTGCACCAGGACAAGTCCGTCAGCAGGGTCTCCATCGGACAGTGAGCTCCTGCCAGACCGGCCAAAGTATGTTTGTACCCTGTCTCCTGATCTTGTCACCAAAGCCCGGGAGGAGCTCCAGGAGAAGCCTGAATGGAGGCTCCGTGACGTGCAGGCACTCCGAGATATGGTGTGCAAGGACTATCCTTCCCTGGGGACGTGCCTGGACGATGCTTTTTTGCTAAGGTTCCTCCGAGCCAGGAAGTTTGATTACGATCGAGCGCTTCAGCTCCTGGTGAACTACCACACCTGCAGGAGGACCTGGCCAGAGGTGTTCAGTAACCTGAAGCCATCTGCAATAAAGCCTGTCCTGGAGTCAGGCTTTGTCACTGTGCTGCCTCACCGGGACCCGCAGGGACGCCATGTCGTCTGCATCCGCCCAGGTACTCAGTCCTGAGTGTCTCTGTTCCCCACCCTCGAGGTGTGTCTGGGCCAAAAGCCTGTTCCCTACTCTCCCATGAACAGTGGTGACTTGCACAGAGTATGTGGGCTCTCTCAAATTTGAAAAGCTGACTGAGGAAGGCACGGGCTGGTCCTTAGCCAGCATTATTCCAGTTCCTTTGCCTGTGTCAGCAATAACTGTGATCATGGCAAAACAAAAATGCAGTGAGATGGGTCGATGAAATATTAGGCAATTCAAGAAAAATTAATATGCAGCAACTCAAATTGAAACAGGGCTGCCAGCCTACCCTGAGAAGCTTGTAATTTGTTTTTACAATAACCAGAGAGAGAAGCCTATAGCTCTGACTCCTGTATAAATAATCAGTCTTTCATGTGCTTTTGGTGCTGCCAGGCTTGCTGTAAATTTCTCTTCATTCATTCTCCTCTTTTCCA